TCTGAGGTGCCTAAGCGCAGTTCTTCAAAATTGAATATTTTGAAATCGTAACCATCCGAGGTGATCCATTTACCTTACAAAGTCTTTAATATCATTAAAAATCCTTCAACAGAGGGGAGGTACATATAGCTTCAATTTAATGAAAGATTTTGAAGTAACTTCTGGGACATACACAAACACGACCGCAAAAAGTTCAGTGCCGTTTTAATCAAAAACGGCCTTACAGAATTTCTTGAAATTTCGTCTACAGGTGGTCAAACTAGCATACTTCAAAATATGAAAAAATGAATGCAATGTTTTCGACTAGATTTCGAGAAAATCAGCCTTGTTTAAAACCAATAGGATGCCGAAATCGTTGCTATGGTAACCTCTGTTGCTTGGAAACCAGTGTAAAATAAATATATCATCATTTGTCATCATCATGGTGTAGTATGACAAAAATCGAAGATTGCCTTCTGATCGAATTTTTGTTTTCAAAACCCTCACCCCAGCGCTAAAAAAACTACATCGAGCCACCTTAATATAACCCCCGAGCTTATCACATATGTACATGTTCCTGGTAGAACTTATTTTGTATTTTTGTTACAGAATGCTCAAAGACTTGTGGTGATGAAACAAGTGTAGAACTTGTCTTGTGTCCCATTTCGTTATGTTTATGTTTATGTTTTTATGCAGCCGATTCTTCTGTGCAAATGCAAAATCCCTTCCGATAATACGGAAGCGAATTCCCACATCCACTCTGTGACCCCCTTCCGCGGTATGTTTCCATTTTGTCAGCGGTCGCCCTTCGTCAAACCAACGGTAATTAATTAAAACAGTGCAGTGGAAAAAGTTTTGAATAAAACATTAAAAATTTCAGATCACATTTGCGTGTTCGAGGCTATCCAGATAAACTGGTCAACAAAGTCCTCGCAGAAGTCGTATTTATAAATAGAAAGTCAGCACTTCTACAGAAACAATACGTTCAAAAGATAAAATGCCTTTTGTCACACAATACAACCCATGCACCCGGGGGGGGGGGGGGGGGGGGGGGTACTTGACCCATGTTTGGGTATAGGGGTGCCGCTGAGGGTTTCAGGGGCGTCGTGCGATTTTTGACCTGTACGCACCAATAGACAAATTAAAGCGCCGAAGGCACGTTATGCTAGGGGGGTTTGGGGGCATGCCCCCCCCCCCCCCCCCCCCAGAAAAATTTTGAAATCTAGGGTCTCGGAAATGCCATTTCCTGCGTTTTCCGTGGGACATTTTCAATCTGAATAAATACGTAGTAAAACGCAGTACTTAGATGTTTTTCATTTTATTTATCTGTCAGCCAACTGGATGAGCGTTTTCGGTACGGCTACAATATTACAAAAAAGCAAAATGGTGACGCCATTTTACATGATGTCATGCAGTAAATTCATAAGCAAAGGGAGAGACGTCTACCCTTCACAGTTAAAGAATAATAACTAAGGACTAGTGGGGATGACACTGAGGGAGGGGGGGTACGAGACGCGTTTTTTGACATTCACAATTTACAGTGTTTCTTCCATTAAGTTTAACATAAAGTCGCATAACTTATAATACGAAAATATATCAAACCAGCCAATTTAATGATAAAACGCTTTCAGGCAATATATAGAGGATATTACACGGCGGCGCGAAGATATGAATTTTATTTTCTCGTGGTAAAAACAATATTTTACGAACGAGCGCAGCGAGTGAGTAAAATATTGTTTTTACCACGAGAAAATAAAATTAATATCTTCAAGCCACCGTGTAATTTTCTTTTTATTATATAGACAAACGACAAAAGCACAAACTTTATCGCGAACTCTTGCCGCTCGGTGGCTGGACTTTCTCTCCTTTCGTCTTCACTTGCAAGGAACTCCTTGAATAATTTAAGTCATATGAAGTTTTCTTCTTCGTGTTAACATTTTCCTACTCCTCAGTGAACGATTTCATGTCGGCTTCAGTGAATTTCACGAATCTATCGCTCGCCATTTTTCAACCGGAGTTTGGCAGCTTTGCACAAAAAGCCATGCAAAAGCGGGAAATGGCGTCAGCGATATCCTCACTAGTGAGGATATGGAAAATACGCCACTCGGGTCCCGGATGTAGTTTCGTATGAATTTTACGAGTGGTCTATTTTCCAGTAAAACACTCGTGTCTATATAATAAAAATATTTATTATATAGACACGAGTGTTTTACTGGAAAATAGACCACTCGTAAAATTCATACGAAACTACATCCGGGACCCGAGTGGCGTATTTTCCATATCCTCACTAGTGAGGATATCGCTGACGCCATTTCCCGCTTTTGCATGGCTTTTTGTGCAAAGCTGCCAAACTCCGGTTGAAAAATGGCGAGCGATAGATTCGTGAAATTCACTGAAGCCGACATGAAATCGTTCACTGAGGAGTAGGAAAATGTTAACACGAAGAAGAAAACTTCATATGACTTAAAATTATTCAAGGAGTTCCTTGCAAGTGAAGACGAAAGGAGAGAAAGTCCAGCCACCGAGCGGCAAGAGTTCGCGATAAAGTTTGTGCTTTTGTCGTTTGTCTATATAATAAAAAGAAAATTACACGGTGGCTTGAAGATATTAATTTTATTTTCTCGTGGTAAAAACAATATTTTACTCACTCGCTGCGCTCGTTCGTAAAATATTGTTTTACCACGAGAAAATAAAATTCATATCTTCGCGCCGCCGTGTAATATCCTCTATATATTTTTTCAGATTTCAGCTGTACGCCCGTGCGTACGTGCGTATATGGTAGCTACGCCCCTGGGTTTGAACCTGACCCTGTTTAGGACAAAAAAACAATACAAACCCCTAAAATACCTAAAATACCTGCCCTGTGTAGGACAACATCCTTTATTTTATGACCCTGTTTAGGTTGCAATTTATCAAATCACGTTTGACTGATACGCGGCAAAATTCTCCGATCTCTAAATACTGTATAAACCATAGTTTTGTAACGACAATCGTGCAACCATACCCTGTTTAGGACAGACTCGCAGGGAGGCCAAAAAACCATACCCTGTCCAGCGGCACGTCCCCGTATAGGCCACATAAGGGAGTACCCCCCCCCCCCCCCCCCCCCCCGGGTAGTGGCATTTAATCCAAGACCAACCTCTGCTGAGAGGAATAAACAGAGAACCTCCTCTCATCTCCTACAGAAGAGGAAAATCTCTAAAAAGACACGCTTGTTTAAAAATAGTAGTAACTTGAACGTGCCGCTTAGAGAGTACTTACATACGTTCCTGTTACATACAGATTCAAGACAACTTTATTGTAACCTCACTAATATTTATTCCTTACATCTTACGCAACGTTATCTACGTAGCCGTAAATGTGGTGAAATGGTACAAATATAGTGTTGTAGTTTACGCAACAGAGCTTGTATATTTCGGGATCCCGTTTATATTGAAGTCATAGCTAATTATAAATATATAATTATTGAAAAAGTATAATATTTAGCGCGGTATTATTACCGCTCATTCTTACTTATTAATAAAGTGGGACGACCGCTGACACAATAGAAAACATACCGCGGAAGGGGGTCACAGAGTGGATGTGGGAATTCGCTTCCCCCGATAATAAGCACCCCCCCCCGATAAAAATATAAAGCCCACAAAAAGTCCTTTAAAGAAACATAAGCCCAGGGCTTATTATTCGGAACTTTAGGTATTTGCGGCAAATAAACAGGCGCTAATTACTCTTGCTGTGGTTTTCTTGGAGTTCTCCACTGTTAATCCCCTTGGATGAACGTGGTTTTATTTCAATACACCTGGGTGGAAAGAAGTTGACGGAGAGTTTAAGAAGTGTAACGGTACGGTCTTATCCAAGAACAACACGAAGGGCGATGGCCATAACCCCTAGTGCTCTGCTTCTCCTGCCTCGTTCCCAGGCGCCGTTGCGAGCGAGAAAACAGGGAGCGCGGCCGGGCGAAACAGTCCCACAACCCCACGCGCACTGAACGCCTGGGGACGAGGAAGCTGGTTCTCTAGGATCTACCTATGCTTTGGACAGGATAATCCCTAAGATAAGGTCTTACTAAATTACACAAGTCTTTCTCAGTCTTGCAAAAACAAAAGCTAAATGACCTAACCCAGGCCGGCGCGAAGCATAACATTTTGTTGAACCCATGAACGCACGTAAAAGCTGTTTTTGTTTTTACAAAGTTTGGATTCTTCCATTATGTTCTAAATGAACAAATGCAACCAAATGTTGGTTCATTGTCACTCAGCTCCAAAGTGACACACTCAAGATACCGCAAAATTCCGCTAATAAGCCCTTGGGCTTATTTGGGCTTATTTTCGGGGGGGGGGGGCTTATTTTCGGAAGGGATCACTTTCGGGGCGGGGAGGGGGGGAGTCTCGGAATTTTACGATAGTTTGTACCCCTCCCGAAAAATTGCGTGTTCGACGACAAACAATTCCAAATTCATGGATGGGAGCACAAAAACGTCAATGTCAGTACTTCTATTAACTAGTGCTCGTTTCTTGACTTGAACCAAAATTTTAAAGCCAGTTATTTTTGCAGTGTTGTAAAAATGCTGTTATCTTTACAGGTGTTATTGTTACAGATATTGTTGCAAAATAAAAAAAATAAAAAACAACAACAACAAGAACAAGAACAAGAACACCGAGAAGAGAGTTGAACTATCTTTGACGAAATTCGAGGTGTTTGGAAATCAGATAAAAACGCTGTCTCTGAGTATTTGATATATTTTCAATCGAAACACAAAAACTAACCAAAGTAGTAAAATGAGAAATCAGTCGGTTATGTCTTTCCTTTGTTTTAACGTGATGGATAATGAGTTTGAGAAGCAAATTTGTAACATACACTTTCTACTTGTTCATTTAGATACCTTGTGGAAAACGGAGAAACGGAGTTAAACCTGAGAGACTGTTGGGACAGTACACCACTGTAAATATACACTATATAGTTTTGAGAAAGATACTATATTCAGTCAGTGATACAAGTACTCGAAAAAAAAAAACATTTCTGAGTTCTCATAACAGGAGTTGAAACCTATGATCTTACGCACACCGGTCGAACGCTTCTACCACTGAGCTACAGGAGACTCCTGAGAGCTTAGGCCATATAACTAGGTTTATGTGACAAACTTCCCGCTTTTTAAGCTTTTAAAAGTGCTAGGATTAGATTTGTCGCGATCGATGAGTGAGTGTGTGGAAAGAAACGATGATATATTTTTAATAAAACAATCCTAGCAGTATGCGGGATGTTTGTCACATTTCAATTAGATATATGGCCTAAGCTCCCCGAGTCTCCAGTAGCTCAGTGGTAGAACGTCGACCGGTGTGCAGAAGGTCATAGGTTCGACTCCTGTGTCTGTTGGGAGAACTCGGAATATTTTTCCGAGTAGCTTAGGGTCACGGACAGAATAACATCTTTCTCATTGTGTTTTTTTTACCATCTTTATTTTCTTTCCATATACTCAGTTTCTATTCCGATATTTTTTTCCTGGTTTACATATACGTATCAGTACTAACTCCAAGACTGACGATATGAAACATATTTCTTTTCTCTCTCGTAACCTTTAGATATTATGCCTGTTGTGTGGTCATCATGCTTTAGTGGAGTTCCTTTTACAAAACGGTGAGTTCACCATTTCTGATTGTAAACAGGTTTATAAATACCACTTTATGGATTTCAACCGGAGTTGATAAGGTAAATTAACCGCCGTAGCGAATTTCTAAAAGCTGACGTTTCGAGCGTTAGCCCTTCGTCCGAGCACTTTGCTCCGGACCAAGGGCTAACGCTCTAAACGTCAGCTTCTAGAAATTCGCTACGGCGGTTAATTTACCTTTATCAAACTCCGAGTTGATAATCAACATAGTGTTTCACTTTCCCGCCGACGCAGCACCACAGTTTCATTAGAAACTAATCACTTTGTCCATTTATAAAATACCAGTTTTGGGTCTGCGCCTTAGCAAGCGGACACTTGTTGGATCGGATCAAGCGGTTGCGCGAGTCGCGCGCGCGGATCGGATACCGAAGAAACAGTTCCCGCCGAACGTGATTCGCGTTTCGCGTTCACGCGCGTTTTTACGAGAACATAGCAAACTAGCTGCTCTGTAAGTTTAGAGATATTGCTAACACGATATATATTGACGGATTTTGTTTCAGCGTTTCACGAAAATTTAAGAGAAGTTAAACGCACCACGTTTTCGGCAAACGTCAGATCGCTGTGATTTCGGTTTACTTTCCGGAAATTATGAAATAAATCCATCAGAAAAAAATTCTCACTTTCATAATAAACGCTAAATACTCATTTCCTTGTACAGACGACAAACGGTAGACCGTAAAAGTGGGATTTTGCGAATTCGCAATTCCATCTCCTAGAAGTTGCTAAAGCAACCATGAGTACCATGCGACGTAACAACTTTCATCGCTGATTTGTCTATTTAAATGGCCTGTTCCATTTCTTTTTATTTAATTCTTTCTCGCGCTTAGGGGCTCGTTGTGCACCAAATACGTTTGATGGAGAAGCTGTTTGTATGCGGCATTGACAGACAAGATAAAGAGCATTCTAAAGAGCTACAAAGCCATCACATCTGAATGTATGAGAAGAGACCGTACAGGGAATTTTATAAGAAGGAAATACTAATTCTGAGCGCGCGAAGAGAGCAGAGCTGCTTCCCGCAGGCTTAGTAAGTAAAACTGTATTTTTATAACTTCAGCTCATGTTGATTCAAAGATGGTCTGCAGACTCGCCTTATGGCAGATGTATGTTTTTTGGTGCATGGTGTTCCTCTGTCTGCCACCGTTTGATTCTATCTGCACGTTCTTCGTACTTCGCTGACATGTTTATGAACAAATGGCGCGATCGGCCCATCATTGAACTCAAACACAAACTGGTAAGATATCTGCTGGACAAATAGTAATATAACCCTTTGAAATCTTTCTCAGTGACTCTCGCGCGCTAGCCTGAGATCAGGCTCCGAGAGAAATCCGAGCGCGACTCGCGGAAGCGCGGAAGGCGTCGACTTCGTTCCCGCCCCAGTCCGCGCTCGGCGATTTCTCTCGGAGCTGATCTCAGGCTACCGCGCGCTCTCACTGTGGTTATTTCTAGGTCACGTGGTAATGAATTAGTTTGGTTGGATCTAATATGCCTCGCTCGTTTTAATCTTAGTTTTCGTTGGTTATATAAAATACGCGGAACTTACCTTGAATCTCGATGTTTCATTCGACTTTCTTACAGGAATATCGAGATTAATTCTCGGGTAAAAAGGACCTGTTTCCCCCTGGGGGGACTCCCATATAAAAGTGAACGGGGGTGATCGTCAGAAATTTTGAAAGGAGCCTCTAAAAGGTTACCAAAATCTCGCTTTATGGGTGTGGTTTAAAATCATTTTTACCCCCAAGGGTACAAATTCTAAAACAAAACTATGTCAGTTCCTACCTAAATTTTTCCGGCTTAATACCCAAAACGGTATCAGGATAACTCTAATGGTAGTAAATTTAGATTTAAACACGCTAAGCGGTGAGAAGCCACGGATTTTAACCTAAAGTGGAAACAGCGATTAAATCTACCATTATGTACCATGTGTTTCTTTGGATGTTTTATGTAAAACAAAGTTTTAAAGGGACACTGTTCGGCGTATTTGCTCAAAACTGTTATAAATGCACGAATGGTCCCTAAATGTATGGAATATAAGCTTAATAAACTCTAACTAAATGGTAAAAAGCAAATTTCTTGACGAAAATTCCATACTGAAACAACATATTGCAAATTTCAAAGATTTCCGAGGCCAAACTTGAAACTGAAAAAATGACAGCCTGTCATTTTTTCAAAAAATCCATCAGTTGCAATCCATTTCATCCTCGCTGTCGTTAGTCATCTCACTTCTAATGGGTTCCTGTCATTTGTCGAAAACTATTAGTACAGAATTAAACCATTATTGTTCAGCTTCCTATGATCTAGATATACTTGAGCTTCCCAAAATCATGCTAAAAATGAGGATAGTGTCCCTTTAAGTCAAAGTTTATTTTAGGGCCACTTTCTATCTTCAGGTAAAACCTGGGCTTTTTGAGGCAATTCGCAATACTTTGTACACGGACCGCGTGTACATAGAGATGGATTACAATTGACGACTGCATCCGATTGGCGCGCCAGTGTAAACTGGAATATCTAAAGTCACAACTGGAGATCAGACTTAATAGCATCGAACTGTTTGGTAAGGAGATATTCGTTAAGGTGGTGGGGTGGTGGTGGGTGGTGGGGGGTGGTGGTGTGGTGGTGGTGGGGTGTGGGTAAGAGGGTACTCAACAAGTTTTATACGGGGAGGCTCCACCCCATTTTGACAGAAAGGCAACCATTTCATATACCTTCCATAGAAAATGGTACCCTTTCATATACCTACAGTAGATAAACACTGCATCCCTTTTCTATACCCTTAGAATGAACTTAATAAAACGATATTTCGCCTTCCGAAGGCAGAGGACAGCTGAAAGCGAACCGATAAACATAAAGCGTTTTGGCCTAGTTATACACATCGATTAGCTGACTTCTTGACTAGAAACACTATTGTCACTTGTAGTAATCCCCTAGCCTTAAAAATACTTGGATGAGATCAGACAGGAGATATCGACAGGTGTGAAATGGACAAGTTTTCCCTACCCTTTCTGATCACTTTAAACACGTTGAAATCCCTACCCTTTCGTATCTCATATAACTCTAGCCTGAAAAAGTTACCCCTTTTCGGGCGGAGCCTCCCGTATAGTTCCCATATCATTACTAGGGGAAGTAGACTGCCCCCCCCCCCCCCCCTCCCCGAGGGGGGGCATTAAGGCGAAAGCATGTTCTTGGAACTTGTCGCGCAACAGATGTTGCATTGCAAGTTCTCGAACTCGTTTCAAAATAATTCATCACGTAGTAGTGTAGGGCCAATTAGGCCCGACAGGTGCGGCTTTAACCTTCTAAATACCTTTCCTAGTAAATAACTTCTGCATTGCTAGTAAAATAGCTTGTCTCATAGTACAGGGTTGACAGAGGTGTGACGTAACGATATATTGTGGTTCGTGTATTGTAGGAATGTCCAAGACATCGCGATCCTCCACTCACGATTACAGTGGTAGAGTATTTCGAACCGGGGAGTCCCACAATCTACAAGTTACAAGATCGCGTTCGGGGACGTTTGGCCGGAGTTCGCTCTCGCCCTCTGCCTTCCGTGGTCCCAGGTTAGTTTGATACGTTTTAAATTTAACACTGTGTTCTGTTTGTTGTTTGCTTTGTTTGTTGTTGTTTGATTTGCTATTCCACTGCCACAATCCCAAATAACAGCTTCAAAGGAGATTAGTGTTAATCGTTATTTTGCCGTGCTTTTGGTGATCACGCTAAATGGTTTTTCACAAAATTTTGTGAGCCGCTGGCCAAACGAGGATAAGGTTTGCCGGGGAGTTGGCCTTTCTTCAACTCTCATCGGACTATCATCACTCGGGCCAAAACGAACAGCGAGGAATCGTCGACGGACTCCTCAAGAAATACAATTTGAGAAGGTATCACATTCGATGCAGAGCCGGCAATGAGAGTCGCCTGGAGACTGCATGGAGAGTTTTCAGGCCAAAAACGAGAGCGTAGAGTTTGAAACTCTCAGCAACTGTCATCCTCCGTTTGACCCGGGGCTTAACTGAAAGTGATTTCGCGCAAATGGGCAGTTTCAGTACCACAGTACACGCGGAATACAAACTTTCAAGATATCGGTACAAACACACCAAACGATTTAATTACCTAAGGCGTTGTTACTCATCCAAGGCCACATAAAGATCTTGAGTGATCAGAATGAACGTTCGTATTACACTTTTACTTCGTTTGCCACAGTGATAATATTGTGCAAACATTATGTTTTGTTTTGTGCGTCTTTTCAGCAATTTCCCACAAGGCAGGTTTTCCGTTTGAGATTCTCCTCGGATGTTTTTGACGGTTACGTATATCTGAAGTGTGGTTTACTTTTGTTTATTATAATTGTCTATCTTCGACAAGCTTCGGAAGGGTTCAGGTAATATTCGTTTTTTTTTTTTAATCTTTTTTTTTTCCTTTTTTTTTTTTTTTTGGAAATCGTCGGAGTGTCTTCGGCTTAACTTTGGAATCTTCGGAGGTCCTCGGACGGCCCTCGGGAACTTCGGATTAAATACAAAATTTAACCAATCAGAATTCAGTAATTTTCCCTCCATGTCAATGTGATTTGAAGCTTCAGTCTTAACTATAAACAGTTTCAAAGGAGATGTTTATGTTAATTTAATTTCATGGTTTTCGTGCTGAGGAGCAACCGCTGTATGCTGACGTGTGTTTCATTGTGGAGGACTACATATTCTACTGTCATAAGGTCAGATGGAGGATT